AACACCAGCTTCTGTGGTAAAGCTCATGTTAAGACTTCAGTTCTTTGAAGAATTCCCACATCCTTGGAAAGCTCACAGACTGTCTATGCATCATAAAGCAGTACACAAAGCTAACACTTGGCGTTACTCCTCAGAAGCCTACATTTGGTTATAACAAATACTGATGCTTACTGAAGAACTTTGGAAAGCTTAGGCATGGATCTGTAGTCGTTTGACAAAATTGACAGCTTTTGTAAAAGCAGTGCCTTGCAAAAGTAAGCGTAGCTGGAGACGTCTGTTAGCTAAACAACACTGAGTTGCATCACCTTCTGTAATTCCGTCCCAATAGGCTCTAATCTGGAAAGCGTCAAAGCATATCACATTAAGTTCAAGAAACTATTTCAGGTATCCTGATTCGTCTCCCTTATCATCTGTAGCACACGTTTACCATTTATGGCTCATCACCAGCACATGCAATCACTCATATGAAAAGTCTTTAAGAAGCTCTGTAGCTTTGGAAAAAAAGGGCATTAGTATTCTGAGCTGTTTGGAGACATCCAGACTTGGAAAGGCTCACAGCATGCTCAGAAGCCTTTGACACACTGCTCTAACCTAACTCCCTCCTAACAACTGCAGCTTGCATACATCAAGCAGTATTGACTCAGCTGTGCATAACTGGTTACAAAGCCTTTCAGATGCACAGCAGCTTCAAACACTGCTGCAGACATTAGAGCATGTTTTGCTAGCAAAGGTTTAGCAGCTGTCAGTGAGGTTTGCCTTATTGATGCACACTGCATCAAGCACTATATTTAACTAACTTATTGGGTTGGCCTCACAGAACTGTTTTCTACAATCTGATCTTGTCAGCATGAACCCTGTTATGGCTGCATGCTGCCCTAACAGTCATCTGCCATGATGGAAGTTCAGATTTACAAAGGTTATGCTGATAAGGAATAAAGTTATCATGGTATCTACACATGGATAGAACAGTACTAAGCTTTCTTCTGGGGCAAATATCTGGAGATTGAAGCTGAAGGAGAGAATTCCACCCCTCTAAATGAGGGATTCCAGTAGTACAGTAAAGGGAAAACCAAGACAATAAGAATTGGTTGTTTTGAAAAGGATGCCTTTATCTACACCACGCGGCACCTTTCCCAGCAGCACTACCAGAACTCAATAGTGTGCTTTCACAAGAAAGGATAAGCACACATCTGTACTGTGCTGCTTCCAACTAGGAAGATACATGAGTTGACACTCTGCATGAACTGCTTTACTTATCACTCAAAACGTAAAACACAACATGACATTCCTACTTATACAACTGCACTAGGTTTAGTGTATACACAGGTTGCTCCAAAAGTCACATCTTCTATTTATTTACACAGACACCAAAGCACAGATACAAAGAGCACAGTAACACTATTTGAGACAGAAAATTCTCACCTACTGAACATTAGTTTTCACCATAGATGTTACCATGAGCTGAGCACATTCACCAGCAACGAAGGGCCTACATACTGTGCTTGTAAAAATCTGCACCAGTAGGGGTGACCCACTGTCACCTGCTGAAGCACCCACCACGGTGCTCACACCTACTCTTTGGTCTCCATAAACATTTGGCAAGCATCAATGAATGTTAATGGGTGCTATTTTTCTCCCCACATGGAGGAATTCAGTTCCACACCTTTGTTTCATATGTACTTCCACCTCAGATGCCATCTGTTACGCCACAACAAAATGTAATGGAGTACTTCAACTGCCATTGAACCAATGTCTGCCTCCATGTGTTGTGACGTATGTGGATGTGAGTGCTGTAACACTCCTTACCCACAGCTGTGTCACCATACCTGCCCTTACTTCATTTCTTCAGCTTATTTTTTTTTTTAACCCAGCTATGTATCTTGCTTAGTTAAGACATTTGCCATCTCTGGCATCTGCAGCAGCTTATAAGCACGTACCGAGGAGAACACATTTCCAAGGTTATAGCATCCAGTTTACTTTCTATTCATGTCTGCAGCTCATAAGCATATCCACCTTTCACATCAAGGTTTTAGAGATTCAAGTTCTCAACTTTGAAGCATTTTGGGCAGCTGAAAATATCAGTTTCTCCAACTGCCAATTAGAAGTAACAATTTACTAGAAGTGAAATAGATGACACCTAAGCTGTGTTATCCCCAGAAGTTCTATCTTTGCAAAGTAAAAAAAAAAACTATGAAAGAACTCAGTCTTTTTGCTTGGTTCATCCTCATGCCATTAAAATAAACATGAAACAGTATGTTCGTTTTTAAACCACTTGGTGAGTCAGTGCAGCTCAGGAAACTGATAAAAGGTTTATGGAAATAAATTAATATTGCATGAATGTTGCTGCAGCTATTAAACAAGTAAGAACCCATCGCTGAAGCCAAGAGACCTACATACAATAAGAGAAAATTGCAGAATAGTAATTGTTATTTTGTCCTACAAAATGGCACATGACCTAAACAAATGTAAGCGATGCAAATGATATGGTTTTGTTGTTTGTTGATTCCAATCTTACAATTGGAATCATTGCTTGTAGCAATAAAAAAGCTCTTAATTTTTTTTTTAATTAAAGAAAAGATATTTAAAAGCTTTCAGAACTTAAAAGTGTGGTCATTAATATCACTAAAGAGAGTATTTTCCTTTGCATTTCTTCAGAAATTGCATAACAATGAAACACCTCACTTACTGACATCATGCCTATCCTTTTACAAGCGTGACACATGACTTGGCATCTCCAGATGATGACATTATGCGAGATGACATCAAAGATCATGACTGATGCTTTCACTAAGAAGCCCAGCTTCATTTCTGAAAGCAGGGTTAGTTCAGCTACCTTTGCTTGAGGCTAAGAGGAAGATGAGCATTTCCAGCCTGCCTCGCACCTGCAGATCTCAGAGCCTTTACACACATTGCATAAAACTGGCTGCTGTTTCTTGCCACTTTCACACTGTACTTCAGAAAAATACACTTGTAAAATCACAAAGGAGATGAACCTTTTGGTGACCTTGCAGTACATGAAGTAAACTCTGCTCCTGAGCATAGAGGCCCCCACATACTGGCTCCTGAGCTTTCAAGACAGGAAAGAATTCACATTTCAACATACCAGGATTTCTGAAGAACTACAAGGATGTACCACAGGGAGTTTGGACAAGAAAAACAAGAAGGTATGTGTGGAAGCAAACAGCTCTCTTCTATTCTCTTAAGTTCTAGAAGTATTGATATTCAAAGTATGTTTTTCCAAATATTCTGTTAATTTTCTCAATAGCAGCGTATGTTTTACTGCAGATAACATTCATTCATTGGGGTGGGTGAAGGGAAAGACATCCAACACTTTACAGTAATATTACATATGTGCAGACATTGTCAATGTATATGTATATTTCCTTTTTTAAAGAAGGTCAGCTATTAGGAAGTATCACAGATAAACTGGCTTATTTATTACTGACCAGTAAGTTGTGGATGCCTCCTCCCTGGAAGCATTCAAGGCCAGACTGGATGGGGCTTTGAGCAACCTGGTCTAGAGAGTAGTGTCTTTGCCTGTAGGAGGAATGATCTTAAAGGTCCCTTCCAAACCAAACCATTCTAAAAGTTACAGCTGCAGCAAAATAAGAGAAGATCTATAAAAGCAGTCCATTCAGAATTCAAAGATGCAGTATCCATTTTAATTTTGCACTCCATGAAATTCAACTTTTAAGAAGCCATATTTTTAATTAAGGAAGCAGGTTTCAAGAAAGAAAGAAGCTAACAAGTAACTTTTAGAGCAGCATCTTTTAAATACTTTTTTTTTTTTTTAAGTCATCTGTTGCATAATTCCTTTATTACATTCAGTTAGGCACACATAGCCACGGCCGACCATAAAAACCTATTAATCATACTTACATTGGGAAAAGCCACAGCTAGGAACTCAAGATGACTGTGACCAGTAGAATGCACCACTGCAGAAAATTGCTACTTCCCAAGCACAAAACCTCCACGCAGAATTTCAGCATATTATAGAAACAGCAAGTTGATTTCATACTGTTATTGGAAATATTAATCAACTTTCTTTCTAACTTTATACAGACTTCAACTCCTCCAGACTCCTCAGCCATATTTCTCTCTGTCATTCCCTCCCCTACCTATATTTGGCTGACAGTGAAAAACATCAGGAAAACTCAATTTCACCTTAGATGTTCATACCATTATGATTTTAACAAAGTCCATTTACATATGGACATTATTAGCTCCTGTGTTTGATGGAAAAACTACCTCTGCTTTGCCAGGCAAAATCAGAAGAGAAATTTAATCTATAATACTTCAGAAGAAAATCAGTTATGGATCTACATAGTTGATGAGAGAAATTGCTTCAGAACATTTCTTCTGAACACTGTTCATTCATCAAGATTTAAATCATTTCATGTAGTACAGTGAAATAATCTTAGACTATTGTCAAAAGAGTCATTCCTATTGTTCCATTACACTGATTCATACATGTACTTCATTTTTTTCTTTAAGAAACTAAAATTCTACTGAAGGAAACTGAAAAAAAAAGAGCAGTAAGCTGCTTCTGCAGTTAGATCAAGTGACATCACAGAAAAAGGAAGTAGTATAATCAAGAACAATGACAGTCTTTCATCAAGATCTTCCTTCTTATTATAAAATACCTTTGTAACAGAAGGAGACTGATAATCACTCAACATCATCCTCTAAAAAGATGAACAACCTGAAGGTATTTTTATTCTGTACTAAGGCAAATTATATTTTAGCATATTTTAGTGTGTTTGATTACAAACCAATTCCCACTAAAGGAGTGGACGTTGTTCAAGGTTGAGAGATTATTTTCTTAAAGAAAGTATATTAATTTACCCCTTACTGTTGACCAGAATAGCCGTATCTACTTGGTGGGGTTTCTTCTCCCCCACCAACCTTATTCATACATAGATTCAGCTTATTACATCAGCCATGTTTAAGTTACACAGCAGAGGACAGAGAAGTCAGCAAACAAAACATTCCAGACTTACCATTTAGACAGATTTCAAAAGATTTGCAAAGATCATCTTCAACCAGGCAGCCTAAAAACATAATAAAGAGGTAAAAATTAATGCAGGTTTCAAACTGTGGATAATTAGCACAGACTGAAGTCCCCTCAGGCTATTAAGTTCTCAGCAGGAGTCAGACATTTGGTTGCCTTTAGGAGTCTAAATTAGGCAGTATAGAAAGGTAAGAATAGGGAAACAATCTGGTTAGACAGCACCTATTTCCAATTAGTTACAGTCAGAATAACCTTTGATGGTTCTCTTCTCCTTATTCCTTTGCTGAGGGTTCAGTTTTCTCAGTGGTTTTCTCATTTAATAATTCAAGAAACCTTACATTCCCTAATTTTGAACACAATATTTGACAGCATAATAATGCTGTAACATACTACCAGAAATCAGGAGTTTCCTCAAGCAACTTACACTGCAGTGAGATAAATCCACGAGTTAGGTATAAATTGCTTGAAACAGGTGAAAAAGCTCCAGGCTTGAATTAGTAACTACAACCCTAGACTGTGCTTAGGTCCTCAGGAGCACTTACTCTGTAGAAAGGCTCAAAAATGAAGCCATCTACACCAACACTACAATTATATCCTCAGCTGAAAAACCAGCACAGCTTCTAGGGTTGGCTTCCCCTCCCCTGAGAAGCAGGGAATGTGTTCCAGAACTGGTTCCTTTGCAGCTCTCTGCTATATCTGCCTACACCTTGCCCTAGAAACTGCAACCAGCTTAGCAAGCTCAGCTTATCCACTTGGATGCATCTTTACCATGGCAATCGACCCATTGCTGATACCACCAAATCAGGTATGAGACACTCATTATTACCTCCTGTCTCCAGGCAAAATGAGTTCATGTTCCTGAGAGCAGCAGAGAAGCAGGCATGATGCTCCCTGCTCTGGTCACTCCACACTGGGAGACCAGGACAAGTCAAGCACTAAAGCAATTGGACATATCATGGTACTGTCAGGACTGTGTGCTCTGTTAATCCAACCAGTTTATTTTGTGTTCTCACAAACAACTAGAATCTGATAACCGAGAACATCCTTGGAGAGGCATTCAAGGTCAGGGTGAACGGGGCTCTGAGCATCTTGATCTAGTTGTAGGTGTCCCAGTTCACTGCAGATGAGCTGGATTAGACAACCTTTAGAGGTCCCTTCCAACTCAAGTGATTTTACAATTCTATGAACTGCAAAGAACAAGGCTGTATTCTGGACATAGAATCTACCCAGATAAAGTATTCCTACAGTTAAGCCTTTTAACATCTCCAGAAAGTACCTTAACTTTATAAGTGGACACAGAGTTACAGAAATCAAGTGGTCTTGACTAGATTCTCACTATCTACCAGAAACCAGCCAACAACTTCACTGTATCTAACACCAGGACACATCCCCTTTTTCCAGAAGCATAAATGTATTAAGCAGGATGTTCTTACCAAAAAGAAAAAAGGCTCAAGATTCTTCCTATTACTCACATCCTAACTCTGCTAAAAGAAAATTTCAGGGGGGAGAGAATGACTTATGCATGCTCATCACACAGCCTTTCAGCAGGTATCTGTATTAGCACATCATTAAGCCTAAACTAATACATTATGTCTCTCAGCAGGATTTATTAGCACAGTGCTAGGTTTGAGCTAAGCAAGCACATCTACAGCACGAATTCAAGTGGGACCAGCAGACTTGCACAACCCCTTATGGCCACCTCCACTCCTGCCTACAAAGACCACAGAAACAACCTTATGAAGGAAACAGCCTACAACATGTATGCTAATAGAAGTGTTCTTTCATCCTTTTACCTGTGCACCAATAAACTGTGGGTACACCTATGGCAGCTTTTGAAAGGTAGAGAAAGTTTCGCACTAAGAAAGATTCTACAGAGCATGCAGGACAACACGCATCTGAACAGCCAACAAACTCCAGTTTGTGACATTTCTGAGACATCTGTAATTTTGTTCCAGACAAGTCTACTGTAGCAGCTGTTTGACCTGAATTAGTGTCTGAAAACTGCCTGAAGAAAGCTGACTGCAGCCTCAGCGCCAACCCAGCAAAGCAGAAGGATGCCTTAACTATGTATTGACTCATAAAGAATCTAAGAGGATAGTGATGACATGCAACAGCCAAAACACATCAGCACAGGCTACACAGCACAGTTGGAGCTCTAATTAAAAGTCTAGAAATGGTCACTTAAAATTTGAAAGCCTGGAGGGGGAATAAAGCAGAAGACTTCAAGTACTAATGCAGACGAGACAAATGACAGGTGTGCTTCACTATTCCTGTTTCCAGAGATTTGAAATGGCTATTTCTTCTAAAAGAAGTCATTATGGTTAGGAAAAAAATCTCTGGTAAAGTTTGTCTGCCTTGTTTTTCTGACAGATTCCAAAGGGGTTGAACTAGAAGCCTGAGGTGGACATTTCCTCACAGGAAGTTGTCACGTGACCAGGGGAGAAAATAAACCCTGCAGCTGACTTAATTACAGAATTAAGGCTCGGGGTGGAAGGGGTCTTCAAGGTCATCAAGCTCTGACCCTCCTTTCTCACCCTGTGGTGGCCATGCTGTAGATCCTACAAGCATTGAAGTTTCAACCAGGCATGTTTCCAGAAGAGTCACAAGGTAAAAATTCATGCAGACTCTTCTGCTTTTGAAACACCTGGAAAGACAGACAGCTGTAGCCCTTGTTAACAGTTTCCAACATCACCTGTGAGACATCAGCCATCACATAATATACAGATCATCTCAGAAGGAGAAAACCTCAGATTTAAAGTGAACTAGATGCGTTTATTCAGATACAAAGAAATAATAAGCCAGACCACATCAGTACAGAACTTAAATTCAAATCCACTCTGATCTGCTTGATAAGCTTTGTGCTACCCCTAATATGCTTTCCATGAAAAGAAAACAGAAAAGCAATTTCATCACATTTGAATTTTTCCTTTAATAGTAGCTGATTATTAGATGCTGACTGTTTCTAGTTGACGTCATTAGCCTTGGAAATTTATGTCTTGGAGAGCAAATTATTCAAGTTAATGTACGGAAAACTACACCAACCGATGAATAACCCCAAATAGCCTAAAATAACCTTGAAAGCTCCTTGAAAAATACCATATCTCAAGTTATTGCTAATGTTGATTGTTACATATAATTCACCCAACCAGTCAATGTACTAATTTAACTGCTAATTTATCTTTTGTTGTTACTGCTGAGACATTAAGACACATCATATTTCATTTTAAATATCATTTACCAACTAATAGTAACGACGGCAATAAGTCACTGCTGAAGAGTGAAGGGGCATTGTCTCCAGTAGGCACTTAATTCTGTCCATGTCTTTTGGGACAAAAAGTACAGCTCCCCTACGATAAATTCTCCATATAACTTCAACCAGCTGAAGACAACTAGACTGCACAGGTACCCAAATTCACTTATTTGATTTGGCTGTAAACATGCCAAATTAAGTTCTCCAAGTTCTTCTACTCCAGACTGACTCAGTTCAAAAGCCTCATTTATGCAGTAAAATGGAAATAAAAGCACTTAGCATTGCAGCATCAAAACTACATTCAGCTAGCCCCATATGTCTTCTCAAAAAAAAGCAGTTCTAGCATTAACCTAGGAACAGTCAAGACTTCATCACCTAATAAACTTACCCTGCATTAAAACTTGGCCTTTCCACTAGCAGTTATATGGCCCTATTTATAAAACCTAAGTCTCAGTGGTAACACAAAAGTCTGGAACAATATCATAGTTATGAGGGTGCACCAGCACCCACAAGAACAAGTGGAACTGTAAGCTTCATCATCAACTCCCCACATAACCAAGGCTCACAGGTCTATATTGCATGTCTTGTAACAAAGGGACAGCTCTTCCCTAATACATAAGAAATTAGCTGTTCAAAACCCAGGCAACTTGACAGTAAGGATTATCCTATTTATAAAGATAAATATATGCTTTCCACGTTATTATGCATAAAGGTTTAATTCCTAGTGACATAACCCAGTAGTCTGCAATTCTAGTAGATGATTTCATGTAACAAGAGCATTTGTGTTGAATCTACACACATATACACCTTTGTTAAAAGTTATACTTTTTTAAAGCTTCATGACTGCCTAAAATCAGGGTACAGTACACTTACATGGAATACTTTTTGTTCATTAGGCAGAAAAGTTGGTTCCAGAGGGCTTCCCAAGATCTACCTCCTTTTTTTCCTCCCTCTGTCTTAATATCCCCAGTGGTATTTTCAGATGATCAGCACAACATAACTGTAAAAAAATGTTGTTGCAAGAGCAACACATTATAGTATATGACCTAGAAGTCCAAATCTCTCTTTATCAAAATATTCTCCTGATAAGGTACAAGACTACTCTCTCATTTCATTGAGTTTACAGCAGTTACACTTTCCTAAAAAAAAAGCCCACTTTGTCTTTGGTTGTAAGAGTTTAAATCACCCTGGACCATACCAATTGTTTAGCCTTATAGTAGAGGCCTGGCAGTCCAGTCAGTTGAAGTCATTGGATCTCTAGCTAAAGAAAGCAACAGCAATTGAATTACAAAAGAGAGAATTTTATAAAATCTATTACACAAATACACTGCATTGCATTTCTCTCTCTGTCCTTTCCTCCCACTTAACCAACCTGTTACAATTATACTACACGTGTCTCATCAATAGAACTTGAGTAGTCTAAGCAGCTTTACAAGCTACAGTTTATATATGTAAGCATATTCCTTAGGCTTTCATTATCAAAACAATAATGGTCTTACAACATCAAAATAAGAAAACAAACAAGAAACAATAACAGCTAAATTTCTCCCATACTTATCAATTAAAAACTAGGAAAACACAAACCTTGTAAATCCTTACTGCTGTTAGGACTTCTCACTCTTTCACAGTCTTCACTCAACACCCACATAACCATCCCATAGCTCTTCATTACTGCAGTGTGTAATTACCTCCCCTCACCATAAAATATCACACAATGTAGACTCCCTTAATAAAAGTGTGCTAATGACTAAATTCAACAAACCAGAAGCAAAGTTTATTCCACATCCACC